TATCCTGGAAAAATAACTGGAGAGCAGTAAAGAATGAGAGGGAGTATGCAGGCATCTGTAAATCGCCAGATGAGGACTTGCGGTATGCGATATGAACGCAAACGGCGGATATAATATAAAAGTTTACGGACCCTAATAAGAAGGTCTTCTATATGAAAAGCAAATGTAAGATTGGATGCCTGAGTAACACCAGGGTATCGGAAAGAGGATACGTCGTTGGCAAGAATGTCAATAGTTTAAGGACTGAGAGGGTCGCAGTCGAAAAATACACTGGATTGACTTTCGCTCGTTAAGTAGAAGCCTTTTACTCACGACTATGTTGAGACGTGGTCCAGGCCATCCTTCAGTACTTGGAGATGTGTCGGACTTTTAAGAGGATAACCACCAACCATATCATCAGCATATTTAACAAACAAACATCCATTTGGTAATCGTAGGTCGTCAGTGTGAAGGGAGAAGAGATTAGGGGATAATATAGACCCTTGGAGAACTCCACAATTGTTGGACAGGACCGTGGATTTTCGCTTGCCGCACTGAACGAATTGAGTGCGGGAAGTCCCCAAGCCAAAAGACAGCCCAGCCAGGAGAACTGCATGCAGAAGTTTTAGTAAGTAGAAGATGGTGCGAGATGATATTAAAGGCTGAGGAGTAGTCGAGAAAAGCACATCCATATACATAACAGCCCTTATCTAAATCTCTTAGAGCAGAATGGACTACCAGAGTACCAGCATCTAGTGTGCTACGCCTAACCTTACACGCAAATTGCGCAACTATTGCTGTGTCGATCCGTTTCTATTCTATTCTTCTCTCCTCTGTTGTACAGTGAGAAAGAAAAGGATCTCCAGGTTACCAGTGAACCCCTCAAGCAGGAATTGCATGAGCTGCTTTCAAAAGAAGGTATTCCTCCTCCTCATCCCCCCACTTCCTTAGATAATCCTTATCCCAATACAAGCGAACATGCGAGTCCCAGGAACTAGTTGCGAAGTAGAAGACGACTCGATCGCTGGGACAATATGTCTATTCGCTTAACGTTTCGAAATCCGTCGCGGATTCATCATCAGAGACATACTCACAGAACAGTAGAATAAACAGTTTATGTGTGCACATGGTTTTGCCGTAAAATTTAAATGTACAGAAAAAATCGACAAATTTCTTAAGTGCACGCTGATTCGTTGCGTCATCAATGACCATCTGGCCTAGCGGTGTTGGCATAAGATGATGTGGTGGCCTGTCTTTTCTCCGAGCGGCGAGTTGCCTTGGCCAAATTTAGTCTCAGCACTGAATATGGATTGGGCAAATCGTTGCACTGATGGATTGGGGCACCGTGAACCATGACTCAAGTAATATTCAGCTCACTCGACTGTCACCTCTTGCGAGAATGTTGTCCTCATCAAATTTGAATGTGTGGCCGGGTCTCGTTGAATGAGCGGCAACTTGAGAATTGGCGTCAATGCTGCCGCGTGTTCGGCAATTCGCGTCTTGAGAAGCCTGCCAGTTTCT